AAATACACTAAAGCAGGGATGTCAAACTCATTTTGGTCTGGGGCCGTATCCAACCTACTTTGATCCTGAAGGGACCGGATCAGAAAACTCATGGCATATATATACCAAAAATAGCAATAAATAAATCTATGACAGAAATCGTTTTTAATTGATGAACTCTTTCTTTTACAAAATATTATAATATTATGAACAACCTGAAAATTTAAGAAAAATACGATTTTAACACAATGTTTTAACATGAACTTGTTTGCAAATAGGAATAAGTCCATTTTTCTTGGAAAACCCTGCACACTTTTCTCATTTTTGACATTTTTCTGATGAGGGTGTCACGGTCAACAGTCAAAACGATCGTCCTTTAAGAGCGTTTGGAAAGAGACAAGTCTTCATTTGTGCTGCTCTGGTGGGAGGGGCCACGTACAGAGACGCTGGAGACGCGGCACCAAAAATTACCAATATTTTAAAAGAAAATATAATTAAAATATTTTAGTAGAAAATCAGGGCCTTATGTTTGACACCCCTGCACTAAAGTGTCTCTCAGCCTGTTCCATCTTTCCAGGAAAAGACTGGGAAATGACATTTGTTTCCAGGGCAACAGATGTCTTGGATGTGTGTCAAGTATTTTTCTCCCGTTCGATGTTCATTTGATTCAAACGATCCACCCGTGTGTAATCACTACCCACCCCGCATACATGCCCGTAAAATTAAAGAACATTAAAATCCACCCATTTCACCAACGATTTGCGGGTTTCCGACTGTGGACTGAGAGATTCTACACACATTACATTGACATTGAACATTTCACTACAAATAAAGTGTACCTTAACCAACTACCCTTCAAATAAGAGTAAAGTAACAGGTACAGAAGTATCACATACATGACTGTCTAGCTTGGTGTTTTCAGAGTATAACACTCTCTCTTTAGTCCTTCTTTTCTACTCTACTCTTCACTGCTAAATCTTGACTTTCCTGATTCATCATTTTTCTCCTCTCCTCTGTCTGACTCTTTCTCTGGTCTCGTCCTTTCCTCTCTCCTTCTCCTCCTTCAGTCTTTCACTCCCCTTCTCACCTCTCTGCTCCTCCTCTCCCCTTTCCCTTTCTTTCCCTCGGTCTCTCTCGCTCCATCTTCCTGTCCTTCTCTCTCCTCTCTCCTCTTTCTGTTGGACAGTGATGAGACAGGGCTGCCATCCCGGAGCAGCTGCCCAGTGCCCCCCCGACCTCAGCAGTTTAGTGTGCGTGTGCCTGTTCGCGCGCGTGTGTTTGTGTGCGTGTTTGTGCGTTCGTGTGTGTGCATTTGCGAAGAAAACCTGTCAAAACAAACAGCCTTGGTGCCAGACGGCTCTTTTACATCAGAATAACTTAAAATCATGAAGGAGAATGAAGAAAAAAGGACTCTAAGGCTACAATCAGACTGCAGGGCTTAACGCTCAATTCAGATTTTTTTGTGAAATCCGATGTTTTTGCGAGGTCGTTCACATTTCCAGTTAAATGTGACTTGTATGTGACTCCAGTGTGAACATTAAACATCCTGAAAATGTCCCGCATGCGCAGTGGAGGACACGATGACGTCAACCGCAGCGAGCGTGCTCTGTGTTTACGGAAGTTGTCCAAACATGGACGCGAGCATTGAGCACCTGGCGATTTTAAAGTTCCTCTCGTACCGGAGCCAGAACATGAACAACTTGTTTTAAGGAGGAGATTGAGAAGGAGAAGGACGAGGTTTTTGACCGTGGCGTTTTGTGGGGCAGCGGCAGTGACGTCCGTTGAAAGGAACGTGTGGATGTGGAGACGTAGCCAAGAGTTCATTAACAATTTTCACCTACTTCAGCGCAGAATAGTGACGTTTGTCGCTTGTTGATAACGTGTAGGTCGAATGAATGCGCTTTGGCCGTTCAGACTGAAGTCACATGTCAAAAGATCAGATATGTATCGGTTTTAGGACCACATATCCAAGTGGCCTGGGTCGCATTTGAAAAAATCGGATCTGTGTCGTTCAGACTGTCATTAAAAGATCAGATACAGGAACATAGAGGCCAAAAAATTAGATTTGGGTCACTTCAGGCTGCAGTCTGAACGCAGCCTAAGTTTTGCTTGGTCACTGAAAAGCGCACAGTAGTGTTAGACCGCCTCAAATAAGGATCAAGTTTGGTGATAAGTTCATGAGTAAGCATGAAGAATGGAAATAAAAATATGAAATCAAATTGTGAGGCCAAAATTGGAAAATTAATCGTGAAATGTATATATCAGGAATTGTGGTAAAATCTCGTCGTCTCATTCTCGTGGACCCAATCTCATATCTCGTCTCGCCTTGTGGAAATTATGTCTCACTCCATCCCTACAAAAGTGAAAAAATGCATAGCACACTCAAGATGACCGATGTCCAATTGCTTTTTTATTTTTAAAATAACGTTTCGGCAAAAAAACGCCTTTGTCAGATATCTTGCTTGCTTTGTGTGCTGTGGTCCAAAGCAAGCAAGATATCTGACGAAGGCTTTTAAAAAATAAAAAAGCAATTGGACATCGGTCATCTGAGTGTGCTATGCATTTTTTCACTTTTGTCTTGCTGCTCCTTGCATTTGCACCTCCCAGGAATTTTGGTGTGCGCTTTATGTTTCTTTCGTTCCATCCCTAACACCTATTTTTATTATGGTATTTTGTGGAGGCTACAAAAGTGTGAATATTTCTGTCAATAATGCAAATAGTTAAGATTCCAAAGTGTTTAATAACAGTTATTTCATCATGTAGATTGGACTAAAACAGAGCAAAGGATCATGGTCTATGTTGTTCTCTGTGTTTTGTAGCTGTTGATGCACCATAACAATGAATTTAAGCAGAGAAACTTGTATTTCAATATATTGTGACGACCCATGGTATTATTGTGAGACTTTTGGCGATATGATATCACAATATTTTGGTTATTGTTACATGCATACTAAGGTTTTGGGTTAGACCAGAGCGCTCCAACCTGAAAGTCAGGAGGTACCACTTGCTCTCCACTCCCTTCGAAGCTCACCAAGGCATTTCTGAATTATATGTACTGTGCCGGTTAACAAAAAATGTATTAACTGCCATTATTTTGATGCATGACTTTGTGCACTAATAAATGGATAATGGTTTCATGTTTTATAGCCTTTTAACTGTCCCCATCTAACACCCAGTGAACACTAACAGCAGGTGCGGTCGGGTTCAGGACACGCTCAGGTCCCGGAAGACATTAAAAGTCATTAATATCAGTAACACAATGCCACACTGACCTCGCTGCAGTGCGGGTGTAGATGGGGGTGGGGCTCGGGCCTGCAGAAAGAATTCGCAAGAAGTCTATTTTTGCCGGACACTTCAGCTGTCTCTTAGCCTGATTCATCAGCCGGTTTCACTTCGTAGAAACCGTCTGGCCTCGCACTGTTAGAATTTGTTAGTTCGACGGTAGGCAGGGTACTTTCTTCATTTAACCAATCACTGCTATTTGGTTGTGATGTATGTAATGTGCCGCTAATGGGGATAACTGGTATATCAAGCTTTTCCCAAATCCTGTAGGAAGGAGGACAATAACGTCTTTCCCCTTGATAAAATTCACCAAACATTCTCTTTATTCCAGCTCTAAATCCTCGATCTCGAGAATCGTTGCCAACACAGAATATATGGCTCTTCACTGATTGGCTGGTGGCCAAACTCACACTTCCAGGGTTTTTGCAATCTAGTGCAGGGGTGGGCAAACTGGGGCTGTACGCGGCCCTTTAAACCTTTTAATCCGGCCCACTGAACTTGAATAAATTACAATAATAAACCTTGTTGATGTTTTATTTTTCCTGCATTTCCCAGTAGATGGCGCACTATATATACATTGAGGTGCGGCATATTCGGACCATGAGTGAGGTAGAAGTGTTCAAGACATAAGGCTGCACTGTTTCCATTTTGAGTGGTTTTAAAGCAAAATCAAAAGACTTATAGATGCTGTGTGACAAATCTTAAAGCATGGAACGTCTTAAGGGTCTAGTTTTACAGCACGTGTGACCTCGTGGCATGGGCTCTGTTTCTCAATGAGATCTAAGTGCTCAGGACTCATGCTCGCCTGTGGTGTGCAGTGGAGAAGACCTCTTTCACTTGTCGTGATTTCTGAAGCTTACTCGTCTGAAAGTTGCAGCACAATTGCAGAATACGTCCTACATGAGCATAAATACAAGTGCAATGGAGCCGGGCTCTTAACACGTCATGTCCTGTCTCCTGTCCGGCCCTTCAGTCAAATTTTAGAACCCTACGTGGCCCCCGAGCCAAAACGTTTGCCCACCCCTGATCTAGTGTGTTTTGATTCCTGACCTAGTCGCCGAAGAGAAATGAAATTGAGCGGAGGCACTAGGTGGCGCCAGCCTGACTATCAGTCTCTGACATCAAGCTGGCAAAATCACATGAGCAAAACAGGAAATCAGATGCGCAAGACTTACAGATTCGATGTATTTTCAGAATAAAATATTCCTGCACACTCCTGGTACTTTGCAAATGTACTTACTAATGGTAAATGGTCACAGTATCCAAAGGTGCGAGAAAGTGGTCATCGTGTGAAATGCCACTTTTTTTCTTTTTTTTTTTTACCAACAAGGCTTCTTGTACATTCTTATCTATCACGTGAACACCTGACAAGAGCGTGAATCTCCTTGAATACTATGTCTTGGGAGCCCAGTTTCCACACTCTGCATGTAGCCCGCCGCGACCGCACAGCAGCAGAGACCGCAATCAGTCAAGTCACAGTAAAACCACACCAAACCCGAACCCAAACCGCACCTGCAGTCAGTGTACACTGGGGGTAACACTCACCGTGAATCTTATATTTGCCCAATTTCTTGCGACCGCTGAAATAGCTCTGAATATCTCTCTGGCATTTTTGTTTTGTAAAAGGTAACTCACCGGAGGAAAAAGGTTAGAGACATCTGGGTTCGACAAAGCTCACCCAAAGGCCAAAGCTGATGTTCTGTCTGATTGTCTTTACACAATAATTGCGTCGCACTTACCATGTTCGTCCAGCAGGATGTTGTCAGGTTTGATGTCTCTGCGGAGAAAACACAAGAAAAGAAAGACACCAAGATTAGAACTGAGGGTCGGCATCAGATTTGCAGCTCATTTCAGCGCAAATAATCACACTTCAGAGCCGCTCATAAAGGCTGTAGGAATCTGGTTTGGGATAATACATTTGGAGCTGTACAAACACACATCTGTATATTTGCATAGATAGAGATTAAGCTTCTGCTGGGATTCACCAAAAGCACTGCCTGGACTGAAAATATGCAATAAGCGAGCACGTATTACAGAAGAGATTACAAGAAACTCTATTTGTACAGTATCTACTTTACATAATGATACGTTTTGTCTGTTTAGATTTATGTGTGTGCATATCAGCTGCTACAAGAGACAACAGAGGTCTTCAACAGAGGGTTAGGGAGGATGAGGATGAACTAGTTTTCAGTTGGTTCTGTCTGTTAGCTCCGTCATCATGTCTGTTTCTCTCTCTTCATTCAGTCGTCTGTCGCTCCCTGTCAAACTGCAAACACGTCGGCCCAGATTTTATCGTTTCTTCTAGGCTACATGTGAAGAGTTCCATTACAGCTTCACTTTAGCTCCGCACGTGCGAACGCGCATTAACCATTAACCAGGCAATCGCACTCCGCAGCAAGACTCCTCTCTGTCCACGGAGCGACCGAACAGAAGAGTAGGGAGAGCAACTGGGAGAGGAGGGGGAGTCGTGCCTTTCCTCTCAATGCTCAGATCAGAATGACCAAAAAAGTTCAGCGTCCTATATCAAACTTGTCCGTGCGCACTGTGGCTCCTCTCTTATTTAATCAGATCATTAAAAATGTCACTTAGTGATATTATAATGTAGAGCAGAGCATTTTGAGCTTTGGAGATGTAGACCAGGGGTGCTCAATACGTCGATCCCGATCTACCAGTCGATCGCCAAGGTCGTGGGGGTGGATCGCTGTGTCTACTCGTCTCGGACTCGCGTTTGGTCTCGTTGAGTGTCAGACCTTGAGTGAGAGACAAGACCAAAGTGCGATCATATTTCATTACGGCCGCTGCTGTTGGTAATAAACTTGTAGCGGGGTGCAGGAGCGTGTGGGGCGTCTCAGTGCAGCCTGTGCGCTCATTTGAAACCCGCGGAAGACTCTACGGCGCATCACAAACACACACGCTCCCTATGCACGGCTCGTCTGCGACAGAGTGTGTGCCCTCGTGTACCAGCGTGCATCACAGGGCAGGTTCAACTTCCTAAACATCCTACCTGTCCATCTGCCTCACGTCAGCACGCCGCCCCTCGCCTTTTCACGCTCTCGCTCCTTCCTGCGTACAGCGAACACAAGCCCCTCCCACAGTGCGGCTGATTAGAAGAGCAAGACCAAACGTGAAGCAAAAACGAGTCTAAATTTGTGTTACAGTGTTGCCACAAAGCAGGTCTACAGCATAGAGCGGATCTACAGAACAGACCTACTGCCACATTTGGCTGAAGTTTGTCTAACAAAAGTGCACAAATGCATCTGTGTTTGTCATAATGTACGTTTGGTTTGGTAAATGTGCAGAGGCTGGTAAATATCACTGCAAAACCAGAAAAGAATGCAACTCCAGTTTGGAACTTTAAAAAACAGGTTTAAAAATCTTCCTTCACTTTTTTCACAGTTTTGTGTAAAGTGCCAGAGGAAGTTCTCTTAAAGAAGAGGTTCTCAAACTGTGGGTGAGGGTCCAAAAAAGGGGCACAGAGTGTTTCAGTGCAGTTTGCTTGGCTTTGTATCAGGTAGATCTTTATGACTTGGTCATTTTGTAAGTAGCTCGCATGTTGAAAAAGTGTGAGCACCCCTGATGTAGACCGACTAATAAAGCAGGATGACTCAAACGTGTGATTGAAACGAAACACAACTCCAGGTCTGTTTTTGATGACGTAACAACATTAAACTCACAAGAATCCATTTTGCGTAACACAGGAACACACTTCCCCATGGACAATGAAGTCATCCCCAGCCTATTAAATAAGTAAATGGACGGATACTATAATGGAAAAGCACACTTTGCTACATAATTTATAAGTCTTACACTGAAGCCATTTGATTTGAAGCTTCATTCGTCTGCGTGTCGTCGTATGTCATGAGAAAGTGTGCGGGTGAGTAAGGGGGACAGCAGGTGGAGCCGTGGGAGCGACAGGGACACCTGAGAAGAGGGACAGGTGCACACTGACACCGCTCCAGTTCACACAGATATACAGCAGACATTTTGGAGCAGATGTTCATTTTTGGTTCTTGTAGTTTCGCCGAGTTATAACATCAATTCTAGACACTTTCACTTTGGGAACAATGTCAACCGCAGCAGCACAAACTTCAGCCATTTCATCTTTTCATCCTTTTTTCTTCTTTATACCCTCCCAGACTTGTTTTTTCTCTCCTTATGTAGATGCTTTGTCAGGAATGTTCCACAGTAACTAGAGACATGTTCACTATTCTACTAAGTTACAGGTTAGCTCTATGGAGTGGACTATAGAGGACCAAAAATAACAATTAGAAATAAATAAATACAAGAATAAATGTTGAAAAGTATTAAATTAAATGGCGAATAAAAATATAAATGTGTAAATAAATAAATGCATTCTGATGATTAAAAAGCTAAAATATGCTCTTTTTTATTTTTCTAATAATTTATACATTTTTACTTTTACTTATTAGTACATATATTTATATTTAAATTTCTTGATCTATTTTTTACAACTATTTATTTATTTATTTATTTTATTTATTTACATTTTAAAATTATTTTAACATTTTTCCTTTACTAATTTATTTATGTCCACATTTATTTATTTGCTACATTTATTTATGTCCACTTTTTTTCCTTTATATTTCTATGGTTCCACATTTATTTTTTTCCACTTTTCTTTGTTGCTTAAATGCAAATGAGTGGGTATAGTATTTGAAGTAGTAGTAATAGTAGTTGAAGTAGTAGTAATAGTAATAGGAGTAGTAGGAGTAGTAGTATTTGGAGTAGGAATAGGAGGAGTAGTAGTAGGAGTCGGAGTTGGAGTAGTAGTAGTAGGAGTAGGAGTATTGGTATTTGAAGTAGTAGGAGTAGTAGTATTTGAAGTAGGAGTAGGAGTAGTAGTTGAAGTAGTAGTAGTAGGAGGAGTAGGAATAGTATTTGAAGTAGTAGGAGTAGGAGTATCTGAAGTAGGAGTATTTGAAGTAGGAGTACGAGTATTTGAAGTAGGAGTAGGAGTATTTGAAGTAGGAGTAGGATTAGTAGTAATTGAAGTAGTAGGAGTATTTGAAGGAGGAGGAGGAGTAGTAGTAGTAGTATTTGGAGTAGTATTAGTATTAGTATTAGTATTAGAATTAGTATTTAAAGTAGTTGACGGACCTTTCCTCAGAAAAGTTACACAATGCACCTTTACCTGTTATGTGCATAAATCAAAATCCACCTGGAGCAAATACACTTTTATGCAAATGAAGGTTTCTAAATCCACCTTCTGTTACTTATGCAAATCTTCAATACGCACATAAAAAAAAAAAAAAAAAAAAAACATGTTGAAAATGCAACTAGTGTCAGTACGGAGTCAAACACTAACTCTGCCCAGTGTTGAACTCTGAAACATGAACTCTGTCTCAAGAGGAAACTTAACTCTCTCGGGAACAGGACCATATGTTCACGGACGCAATGTCGAAATGATCTTTTTAAGCGGTAAACCTACACTTTTACACTTCATTTTTGACTGTGTACTGCGGAACGTTCCGGGCTCAGCAGCAGTGACATCACAATGGAGATAAGCAGGTGGCGGACCCCTGAAAAAGTTACATAGTGCACCTTTAATCTATTCAGTGCATCTGTTTTAGCAATTCGTGATTGAAATACGCAAGCCCATACCAATGTTTTTAAGTTATCAAATTGCTTTTTTCCATGTATTTGAGCAAAAAGTGTCTTGCTCAAGGGCACATATATTGTATAAAGAGCTCTTCTGATCAGAATAAGTCCGCTGTGTGCTGTCTGTATCTGATTATAAAGCGTTTTTATGTTTATTATGTAAATGAGGAATAACTTTGGACCACTGCAAACTGTCTAAAATGAGATAGTTGTTTTTCACATTTTTAAAACAGTAAAAATCACGTACGGCGCCTTTAAACCAATATTTCAAATGTCAAAACAGAACTTTTTTATTTTTGCCTGACCATGAAACCGCACTTTTGTACCAAACATACTGTATTGTATTTTGAGTACTGCGCTGGCTCCTCTTAAAAGCCTGAAAAGTGGTCAAATAGTACACTTAGTTCTGTGTATACTCTGCTTTCTGAAAACATCCCAGCACTTTTGAGAGCACTCTGAACAGTGGTGAAAGAACAAATACTAAATTTTGTAACTTAAGTAAAAGTATCACATGAAAGGGCTTATATTACCGTATTTTTTGTACTATAAGGCGCACCGGATTATAAGGCGCAGTATCAGTAATGCTGAATTCTCTCATCTATTTTCATACATAAGGTGCACCGTATTATAAAGCACTTTAAGCGAAACAAACAGACGACACTTGAGACTGATCTCCTTAGCCCAGACGTCCACGATCCATTGGCAGATCGCGTTGCCTCCCTGTCTTGGTGAATGTGTATTACGAATGTGAATGTGAGTGGATCATTTAAAGGTTCTATGGAGGATTTTTTGTTTGTTTGTTTGTTTCAAATTGTCAATGATAGCATTATAAAGACGCACTAGCCTTGTGATTATGATGACCAAAAAAAGGGAATGAAAATCCATCAGCTCTGGACGTGGTGGGGCCAGCTAAACATTAGCCAATAGATAACAAGGCTGCCTCGTTATCTGTTGGCTGTTAGGTTGTCAAACAAACTCCCTACGTTTCTAGCATAACCGACTTGCCTGCGAGCTGGCATTACATGGTTTACGTACGCCTCTCACGCATTCTACACGCAAGATGTGGTTTACTCGACCAACACAGCATTTCTTAGCAGCTTTTTGGAGCACAAAGTTTGGTTTTTAACTTTCTATGAGGAGGACTCAAATATACATTGA